TATTGTGTGCCGCTAATCATCAGGCAAGCTTTCTTATCTCCCTCCTTCCCCAATATCACAAGTTTTTGTATTTTAAGTAGGTGTACTAAACTAAGGGTGCAGAAGTAGCGATTTTTACCCACTACTTGTTGGAAGACATACAGAAATTCAGACACTAACCCCCCACCTCCATATCTCTGCTCTCTTCTTCTGACTTTCACATCTCGTATTCTTATTTAAGTTCTGATTATAAGCTTCCCAGAGGAGGAAGCATGTCTCTGGAGGTAAAACACTTCAAATAGAAGTGAATAATCAACAAAATGAAAAGAGCTGTCTACACTTTGAGCAGAACAGGTACACTTTTACTTTTGTCAGTGCAGATGACCCCAAAACACTTGAAGAAACCAGAACAATCACTTCCTTTCCTCCTGATAAACACAGCAACTAGAAATGACAAAAGAATCCCAAGGTGGAAGTGCAGGCCCTGGAACCTCTTACATGATGGAGAGATATAATTCATCAGACTAGAAGACCAGAAGATGTGTTTTCACATTGCTATAATCTTCTATAACTGTCTTTATTAATGCAAAATTAACCTAAAACATGTAATCAAGCCTTATTATCAGAAGCAGTAAAAGCAACTTTTAAACCTTTTTTTCAAAGTTTAGAGGTGTTTTGTTTTGTTGTTGGTTTTGTTTTTTTCCCTGAAGAACAGTGAGGTCTCAGCACTTCAAACTCTTCTTTCATAAACTTAATTCTTTATCTTGGATACAAGGGTAACAAAAGCCTCTGATTCAATCAACAGACAGGAGAGTTCACCTGAAGTGTCATGAAACAGAATCTGAAGTGATTCCAATAAACCTGTGAAGAAGTAAAATCATTCTCAAAAAGAGAAGCATGAGAGATTATTGTCAAGTAGGATAAAACAACTGAGGGAATTACTAAAGGGGGAGCAACTGGCAATGTTCAGCTAAGCAGAAGGACAGTGGAGGATTATAGAGGACCACAATAGACAGAAGTCAAATCATTGCTTCCCTCTGTTTTGGCAAATAGCAACACACAGAGCTGCATTAGAGTGAAAACTACAGGACAGGAAAAGTAACACTTGTGTCCTGACCAACAATGTAAATCACATCTTATGCTCTGCATATAGTTTTAAAACACCATGCTTCAAAAAAGATCACTGTTTTCCCTGACACATAGAAACAATACATGGAAATGACACAAGGGAAATGTTTCTACCTGCAAGGATACTGTATCCCTCAAACAGATTGCCTGGGGAGGCTGAAAAATATCCATCAGAAACACAGCCCAAAGAAAAGTATTCAAACAAACAAACATCGGGTGAAGAATCACTGGGAGGAAGGGCTGGGAAAGAGGAATGCCTGACAAGTTTGAGGTTCTTACCAGCTCCACAGTCATTTCCCTAACCAAAGCTCCAGAATTTCAGATATTTATTCTGCCCCCAGGCTGGAATCACAGTCCTACATACCTACTTTTGGATGGAGTGGAAAATCTGGGTTTTTTTTCCCTCCAAACTACTGGTGCTACAACATGACTACCTATAACTATTTGCTTGTTTTCACACAGAAGATAAATCACAATTTTTATTACTTTTACACTTCTTTTCTTTTCAAAAATGTTTGAAAGGTTTCACAATTAATATGCTGTATGAAATTGCACTGGGTTTACTTGGTGTGGTACAATTATTTTTTTTTTTTTTTTTTGTCATCTCCTTTTAAAAGACACTACTTTGCACTTAAAGCACTTTATTACAATCCTGGAAGCATATTACAGATCCATTACCTAGGAGCCAAATTTTAGGCCTCAAAAATACTGCTGCAGGATCCTGACAGTACTCTCAGAACCCTACACCACAATTTTTTTAAGCTCCAAACAATAAATATCTGATTCACCAGACACATAATGAATAAAGATCTAGTTAACATATGAAGTTGACTATAGCACCACCAAAACAAAAGGCAGATTTTGCTACTGTTTAAAAGCACCTGGGTTAGGGAAACTTCTCTTGAATGTTTTGGAACATTCTGACACTAAGCTGACATGATAGGAAACTTTGGTATAACCAATTATCACTAATCTCCTAAAAAATAATCCACAATCCTCACGATCACTTCTCTGTATTACACTTTTCTACAGTATCAACTAACGGCATAATTCAAATCTCACATTTGTTATGATCTTGAATTTTCTTTTCCCTGCTTTGCTTCTAGCAGAGAGATATTGACAATGTTACAGCAATACATAAAAATCACAGGGGACTTCAGAATCTGAAACACAAACTTTTCAGATTCTGTTTTAATAATTTTTAAGGACACACAGACAGGTGCCACATGGAATTCTCTCTGCTTCCACACTCACATATTTAGTTACCTGAAATGTTGATAAGGATTTAGTATAAAAACATCACACTGTAAATTAATCAAATTTGAAAAGCTGTTTTAAAACTACTCAGAATGATTAATGCCATTAGCAGCAGATTTTATAAGTATTTTTTCCCATCACAACACATGAGCATTTAGCAATTTACATGACCATCCACTCTGTCATCCTAGCACAGTATTGCACTCATTACTACGAGCTCATCAATAATTACCTCTATTTCCCATATAAATAAGTCATTGCCCTGCTCCACATAAACAGACAGCCTGGTGTGGCCTGTATGACAACTTAGGCTCTTGTAAGAATTACTGCATTTTGCACCTTGACACCTCAAATAACTGCCCCCCAATTAAATGTGCACAGCACCACTACAAGAGCTTCAGGACATTCCCTTAATAAACTGCATGGTGAGTTTTGTTTGAGTCCAGGCTATCAAAACCACAGAAGCTGAAGTTCCAGACACTGGTTCAGGTCAGTGTGTCCTTTAGGGACAATCACAGTGCCCCCTGTCCATGGATGTTCTGAACAGAAGGCTGAGATGAGCTCATCGTCCTTCTCTAGTAGTCAGGGTTTATCTGCTTATTCCACATTTGAAGTTGTTTCTGTAACTTGAGCGTTTATTGCACAGTAGTAACTGAAGTCTTTAAACATATTTTCCAACTGAAATAAATGCAAAGTAGCCCTTTAGAACCTATAAACGTACACTATTAAACATATAGATACAGGATTGCTGAAGCACCACTGCAACTGAAGTGGGCTCTATTGGATTCAGACACATAGCTACTAAAATGCAGGGGGCTTATTACTGTATCAGTGAATTAAATTAATTAAAACCAATTTGTTCTCCCTATTTTTCAAAATACTATTAGGACAAGCCTTGAGAGAATGGTAAGTTATATGGTCACAGCTCCAAACAACATCCACACCTCCAATTACCTCACATGCCAAATAAACGTGACTCATCCCGCAACCACCTGCCTGCCCCAAAACCAGCCCTACTGCTGTACAGCACAGTAATACTTTTGGTTTCATTCAAGCCTTCCTAAGAATCCAAGAATCAAAACAAACACAGCTCAACAAGTACTATGGGCCATCAAGGAGATTACTGTGTAAAAATGGTAACAATTCCAGATCAACTTTTTGCAATAAATACCCAATACAGTGTTTGGGGAAGTCATGCAGTACATCCCATCAGTGTTTTTCACTTGCTATGCTAAACTACTTTGTAAAGGCACACCTCTTCCTAGGATCAGTTATCTTAACAAGGCAACAATTCATGAGTATTTCTTACTTAGATGAAGTTTTGATCTGTCAGGAACTCTTGCACCTTACTACACTGCCATTCACTCTACCAGCAAAGAAAATTTTAAAAATAGGCCTATTTCACAGAAGCTTTCTCATCCTGCATTTTAATGCAACTTCAAAATAAAGATTTTTGTGAACAACTTTTTTCCATACTTCTTCCTTTCTTAGTGAGTGAGAGAAAAATAAATTCTGTGAGACGCTGACTCAGCTACAAGAAAACCTATTTTATTATGCACATTTGCTTACACAATTTTAAATAAACATACTTCTCCCAAATGAAATTTCAAACCATAAAGTATGTATTCTTCATTTCTGCATTAAAGAGAACACTAACAGTCTGACACCATTCTTCATTACAGTACACATTTTTTTCTAGATAGTGTGGCAAAAATCCAATCAAAAGTCATTCTTCTAAACTGCTTACCTGTATGCACAGACAAATGCAGATCAAGAACTACACTGAAAAAAATGTGCTGAATATGTTACAGTACATAAAGAGGACCTAAACACAGACTCTAAGCTTTCAAACACATCCCCTAAAGTACACAGCTTCTAAACTTAGAATAAACTTCCTAAGTTTTTGTGCACCACGGAGATTCATATGCTGTGTCACCCAAATATTTCAGTGTTAATTGACCAGCAGTACCCAGTAAAGCCCATGAGCAGGTCAGGGCATCCTGAGAACACTCAGCTCCACCATAGCCAACACTGCCACGAGCATTCAAGAGAACTTCCAAAGGTGCAGCAGGAGGTGCTGCTTTCCTACAGGTGCAAGAACCATCCCGGGCAGTGTAACTACAGGTTAATTAATTTTACTCGTGCAGAAGAAAAGGCACTGACAAATCTCCCCTGGATTCTGGGCCCAAAGCACGTTCCCTCTGACCCTTGCTCTGCTGGCTCGGACATCCTCTCCTCAAGCAAAGAGAGAAGTGTGAATGTTTCACAACCTCGCTGGAGCGATGTCAGCGATGTCCCTTGGCCAGTGGCTCTCCTCACACCCGCGGGTGCTCGGAGAGCACAGCGCAGACCCCAGGCCGGGACCTCCCCTTTCCCCGGGGTACTGAGTCACCCCCACGGTGGTGTGGGAGAAAAACTAAAAAACACAACAAAAACACCCAACCAAACAAGAACAAACCAAACCAGCAACAAAGAAAGAAAATTAATTGCAAGCCCTTTGCCCCCGAAGACCTGCCCATGTTTGCTCTGCCGCTGCGCGCCCCGCTGGTTGCCCCGCGCCCACAAACGGCCCCGGCCCCTCACGGACGGGCACTCGCGGGGCCGCCACGGCCCGCCCGCTGTGCCTCCTGACCCACCGGCTGAGGCCCCCGCCCACAGGCCCGTCCCGGAGGGATGGAGCAAGGCGGCTGCTCCACAGCACAAACGACCGTCACCAGGACCGCCAGCGGCTCAACCCGGTACCCCCGGCCCCAGCCCGCCCCCTTTTATGGGCGCCCTACGGAGCCGGGCCGGGGCTGGGGCCGCACTCACCCCGCCCACTCCTGCCACCACCTCCCGCCCGCCGCCTCCGCCGCGGCCAATCCCGCCGCCAGCAGCGCCCGCGCCGCCCAATCAGAAGCCAGGGTGGAGGGCAGCGGCCAATCTCGAATGAGGAGCGGGGCCCGGGGCGGGGCCCGGCGAGGACTGGGCCGGGCCGGGCCGGCAGTGAGGGACGCCGCGCCCGGAGCGCCCCGGATGGGCCTTCGGCTGCTGCTCACCACTGCCACTTCTCACCACTGCCTTGTAGGGATTGCCGTGCTTCAACCCCCGCAGCAGCCCAGCGCCAGGCAGCTGCTCCCTCACTCCCCACCAGCAGGACTAGGGAGAGAATGGGAAGGGTAAAAACTACAAAACTCATGCGTTGAGATACAGTTTATAACACAGAAAGCAAAAGGCCTGCACACAAGCAAACCAACACAAGGAATGAATTCCCTGCTTCCCGTTGTTGATCCATTTCCAGCAGAGCACAGCCTATCACGCTAAGGTGACTTGGGAGCACAAACGCCATCAGTCCAAACATCCCACCCTTCCTTCTTCTCTGCACTTTATACTGACTGTGATGCCATATAGTCTGGAATATCCCTTTGGTCAGTTTGGGGTCATCTGTCCCCTCCCAGCCTCCCAGTAAGGTGATGTGAAAAGCAGGAAAGGCTTTGGCTCTGTGCAATCCCTGCTCGGCAATAAAAAAAACATCTCTGAATGATCAGCTCTCCGTTCAGCACAAAACCTTACACTAGACACTGTGAAGAAAACTACCTGAACCCCAGTCAAAACCAGCACAGACTTGACTATTAATTTTTGTTAATATTAGTCATTCATCAGGGAAATCTCTCAATGTCAGCTTTGTGTGGAATATTTCAACTAAGATAAGCTGAGACTGTTTGACACTCTTATCTGCATAAGTATTCCTACACTCTGTTCCAATGATACACAAAATCAGTTATTGGAAAATAGAAAAAGAAAAAAGTATTAGATTATGGCACCCTAACCTGCTTCTATCTACATCAAATGTTTTTTTGGCTATTCAGTATTACCATGTTGGGTACATTCTAAATGGTTAGGAACACCAATACCTATTGAAACATGGCAACCATGAAAGGGAACAAACTTTATCCCTAAAGAAGAAAACAAGTGATCACTGGGCCTAAAGAAATGTGATTTCTATTAATGTAGCCCATATTTGTGCTGCCATTCAGCAAAAAGAGTAAAAAAATCAAACCCCTTCCTTCCTCCCTTACATTATCAGTTCAGATCTCATTTTTACTCATTTTGCTCTTCTGTATTTTCTGTCATAATTTTTCATGTCCCTCCAGTTTAAGCAAGAGAAGTGACAGGATGCACTGCAGCTATTTTCTAGTATTCTAATACCTTGGCCAGTATGTGCCATGCCAGCTGCTAGCCTCCTGAATAGCTAGCTGGGGAATTCATGCCCCATAGAAATTCTGAATTTGTTTTCTTTCTTCTGTACATAGTTGCTAATTTTTTGCAGAACTTACAAAAGTTTACATGTGCTAAAGGTGGTCACCTGACTAATAGGGATGAATAAAAAGCAGATGCATTCAATAACTTTTTTTTTGCTTCAGTCTTTAGTAAACTGACAGGCCTTTTAGCAAACTGTGTGGCCTGGTCCCGTGAGTCACTACCACCAGTGTGGGAACAGTCAAGTTCTATTCCTGGACACTAAAATTGTAAGGGATGGTCTGTATGAGGTGAATGTTCAGAAGTCCATGGAGTTTGGTGGGATTCATCACAAGGTACTGGTGGAACTGGTGGATGTTATGGCATGACCCCTCTTGATCATCCAAGAAGTCTTGGGAGATTAGGGAGGTCCCCACTGACTGGAAGTTGGCTATGTTTTTCCAATTTACCCAAAAGGGTCTGGGGGAGGACTCAGGGAATGACAGACCTGTGGGTCTAAGGACTTGGGAAAGTTATGGAGAAGAACATACTGGGTACCACTGAAAGACAGTCAAAGAGCAATACAATCTTCAGGAACAGTCAACAGGGATTCAGAAATCCTGCTTAACTAATTTCTATCCTTCTATGCTAAGGTCACCTGCCCATAGGATGAAGGGAAGGCTTCATCCAAAGTGCATGTTGGATTTTTTGGATTTTAACACTGTCCCTCACAACATCCTTTTGGACAAGTTCTCCAAAGAGAATGTACAAGCTGCACTGAATAAAGTCTGGGATCAAAGGGTTGTTGCAAATGTGTCTGTTGATGCTGGTGCTGTTCCTCAGGGCTCAGTTCTAGAGGTGGTTTTAGTCCATGTATTTATCAATTCTCTGGATGCAGGAATTGACAGATTTGCTGATGACACTAAACTGAGACCCTGGGATCAAGTAACACCAGGCACAATCCTGGTGTTGGGAATTGGGAGAGGATTGGCAGAAAGAGGTCTGAGGGTGCTGGAGGACAGCAGGCTCCACCTCAGTCAGCAGGAGGGGAAACCCCATCCTGGGGTGTGACAGACACAGCACAGCCCAACAACCAACAGAGGGGTTTGTCTTGCTGTACTCTGTTGGTGAGGCATATTCTATTCTATTCTATTCTATTCTATTCTATTCTATTCTATTCTATTCTATTCTATTCTATTCTATTCTATTCTATTCTATTCTATTCTATTTATTCAAATCTCTTCCAGAGTTCCTTTTTTCTAAAATTACTTTTGCTAGGAACAGCTGATGGTTCAAAACTATTAGAGAGGGGTGCTTACAGGAATGTATGCAGACAGACTTGTGGAAAGGCAAGCCCAATTCAGATACTTTGAGGCAATGATGCAAATTATTCAAAACGGTCAAGCTAGGCTATTGTTTGTAGACTATCTCTATTATTAGTAGAGCCTAAATCCTTCAGCAGCAAAGGATACAACTTTTCAACTCTGGCTTCTATTGATAAACATCCTCTTAAGGAGTCAACCCCCATACCCACAGACTGGCATAAAAGGAAACAGAAGAAATGAGGCACTAAAGGTTAAAATGACCCTCTGTGAATTCTCATCATGGTGCACCAACTCATCATTCCATGGCAATACAAGAAGTTTTGGCTGAAAATGTCTGTCTAAATAGAGGAATGCTACTACTGTGCAAACACTTTGCTTTTGTATCTTCAGCTAGGAACAAGTGGGAATTCTTTCGGAAGACTTGCTTTGCTGATTGATGGTTTTACTTAGTAAAAACAAAATACAGAAGTCCATTAAGTTTTTTCTAATGAATTTTTAATGGTTGCATAAGACCCTTCTGATGCAACTGATGCATCCATGCTATCATTCATGTTGTATTCAAAGGACTAAATAAACACATAAATAGAAAGATCTGTGCAGGTAAGCATTTAGTATTTCATAACTTTTAAAATCTTCCAGTATTCAGACAATACGGGTTTTTCCTCAGGAAGCCAAACTGTAGCTTCTCATACTCACTCATTTCTGGGTGATGCTGCACCCAAAAAAAGCATACATAATATGTATGATCATGATAATATGTATGAATATCAAGATCACATTTTCAAGGAGTGCCACCTCTTTTTCCAACCCTAGCTTATTATTCTTTATAATGATTGAAAAAAGTTTTTATGAGCATCCTTCCTCACAGAGGATTTCAAAGAAAACTGTGACAGAATACTGAAAGGCAGACATGAAAATATGATTCCTGTAAAAAAATTCTATTGTAAACCATTAACTGTCATGCCAATGTGCGTTCTTGATGTGTCCCATTTTCTCTGCAGAAATTTTGTCTAGCAGTTTTCAAGTATTTTCTTTTTTTTTCTTTTTTTTTTTTTTTCAGGTGCTTGGTGTCCTTACAGTGTGCATGAACAGCAGCTTCAATTGGAGTTGTTCTGTGTTAGGAATGTTGTACAATTGGTTATTTCAGGATGTTTCTGAGCAAACAGGATATTATGTGTACTTCACAGCAGAGCAAATATTTCTTAGAAGAATAAGAATTATTGTATGTACACACTACAAGTGATTTATTTAAGTACAGTTACTCAGAGGCATCCCCCAAACTCTGAAATTATAGCACAAGAAGCTGTAAAAACACCAGTAATAAATACAAAACTGCAAATGAAATCTTGTCTCCAGAATATTCAGATGGCTGTAAGTTTAGGAAAGCATATTGTATTCCAGGTTAAAACACAGATAATGTAAATTTAATCCCATGTGACACAAGAACAAGGAAACGTTCAGTTTAATAAAGTAAAGGTAGAAAATTTTAAACTGTTTAAAATAATTTAGCTGACACATTGTAAAACTAGCCAAGGGATCTGCAAGGAAGTATTACATACAAATTGTGTTATTTAAAACTATCATTAAGAACAAGTGTCTGGTAAAATATAAGGTATACTTTACAAATTATGGATATAAGATCAACATCTAATTTTACATTAGTATAAATAACAAATGCATACCAACAATTATGGGAGAAATTATTATAAATCTATGTCCAGAATTTTAGATTTCAAACTATTTTTAATTGATTAAGAAGACTATTTCTTCCTAATCAATTATTGAATTATTTCCTGCCCTTGTACTTCAGAGTACTTCCCCAAGGTCCTTTTATTCCTGCTGCTCTAGCAATGACTTAACAAGATTTAAGTTTTTCCTTCACTCACTATGGCAATTTCTATGTAACAAAACATTAATTTCTGTACTAAAATCAATTAAATAGTCCTGCAAATACACAAAACCAGCTTAATAAAAATTATTTTTATTTCTTACAGCTAAAATCACTTCCTTTGCATTGCACTAGGACTCAGCCTACTGAGCTGCTAAACAAACTAGCTACTGTTTCAGATCCTTTTACATCTCCAAAAACAAAGAAAAAAAAAAAAGTAACAAATGAAATATGGTTTTATTCCAGGTCACATTATCTAGATAATAC